AAACCAGGGGTGTTGTCGCGAAATGTCGGCTGTTTTGTTGTTGCTTTCAAGCAAGAAAAACGGAGCTGGGTTCCGTTTTTCCGTGGGTGAACTCATGCCATAAGTTCAACCACACTTGGTCTAGTCCAGCCAACCAGCTCTTACAAGGTCAAGGGTGCGTCTCCCACTAGGGCCCACATAATTTTTTATTTCCGAGTTTCTTTAATTTACACTTCTCGTCGTAAAAAAAACGCACATAGCGTCAACCATTTTTTAAACAACTTGGCTTTTATGATTTCAGGTCCTCATCGAATGCGAAAGAAGATGTACCGTAATGACATGTTTTACTTGCACTATCCTTACGATCCAAAGGTGGCTAAACTTGTCAGACAGGTATGGAAACTAGGTTTTTTAAAAAATTAATGCACCTTCATAGGTATTTAACCTGTGTGTTCGGTGTGCAAGGTCTCGTGTTGGGGCTGGTGGGTGGAGGAGGGCAAGGCAAATGACCTTTGTCGTCTCTTTCTTCCCCACCTACCCCTTCCCCAGTCAGGCAGCTCTCTTTTGCTTTAGATAAAACGCGTAAGAAATAATATTGAAGGGCAGACTGTTTCATTTGTATCAAAGCCATTGGAACTGTTACCTCTCTCCATCCAGTATTTAAAAAATGGCTACGTCTGAAGCAATGCTTTGGAACAGAATTTCACTTTCATATGATATCTATATTGGTATTCCTTTCGCCCCTGTAGTCAATCCTGAAGACATACAATGTTGTTCTCACTTTTGAGCTGGCGCCCAAAGTTCCACGGAACCTTTGCCTTCTGAATGTAACAGTTTTAACAGTTAGATTTTGTATCTTCCTGCCAGAAACCAACGAAACACAAAGCACCAATCAGTCGAGACAGCAAGGTACATTTCAAGCTGAGAGGAAGTGTAGTACAGGGATTGGGACCAATTGAAGCCCTCACGCAGCAACAGGGTAAGTAGCGTTTTCTACCATGAGTATTAACCTACTGCATCTAAGCTGTTCAGTATCTGTGCAACCAACCGCAGTCATATCTAGTCTTTTTCAGAAAATTTTTACAGTGTTTTATATTTTCATATTAAAGCTGAAGGAGGAGAAAAGAAAGCATTGCCATCACAAACGATTTCAACAGAACCGAGCAATTTTACTGAAGAAAATGAAGGAAGTGAGGTGAGGAGTTGAGCATGAAGAGGTTTTTTTTTGACGGGGCGGAAGGGGGAAGCGCTTGGTTTTGCGTTGGAACGTTCTCGGATGTAGCCAACTGTATGCACAAAATGCAGTTTTTCACCGATTTTGCCACGGTATGCGAACACGCGGAAGTATTACTGCTGCCCGCAGAACACGTTCCTACGAAGAAGAGAGAGATGTACAAGTACCTTACCACACTGATAACAAATACACGTTGAAACGAATTTGTCGACGGTTGGCTGGGAACTTGGAGGTTTCGTCGTATTATTTCCCTAAGCAAGTGAATGTTCTCTCTTTATTCATGTAAAGTTATGGAACTCAAATGGGTAAACTGCAGCGAAGCTAATACTGCGATGAACTTTCAACCCGTTTACGGGGTAGTAGCAATAACCTGAACTGACACTGCATTAAGCTGGGTTGTATGTGGCTTACAGAAGGTACATAAATTTGAGCTATTTGTGGTTTACGGGTCCCTTTTTCTGCCTACCTTATATTTTCTTAGTTGTTCCACCTTCAATTCTTTTACGCGGGTTATCAAACTATACTGCTTTAATCTGGTAGGTGGATAACAACCAAACCATTGTTAAACTCCTTGAAGCAGGCGAGACGGTGAGTATGTAGATTTCTTTTTCTTCCGTTTTTTTTTTTCCTATTCTTACTCTTAAATCTTTGGATAAACTCCAATAACAATTAATCACCGAAGTGGAGGTGGCTAGTGCAGGATATTCACTGATTAAGTAGCCAATCAGAGCGCGCGAAAAACACCATCCACTGTTTTAGTGTATACTAAAATGGTTTAGTAGTTTCCCGTTCTACTGTTATATCGTGCAAGAGGACTAACTAAGTTTGTTAATGAAATTCTACACGGTGACGTTGCAGTAAACGTTTAGATCTGTTCCATTTTAAGTCAAATAAACTCCTTGTACGCTTTGGATGTAACAGTGCTAGTAGATCTAAGACTTAGTAACTGTAAATTTTGTTCTTTAAATTACAACGTGTGAATGTATTTTGTTGTTATTGTTGTTTCTCGACAGATTCGTTCGATGTTCCGCTGCGCTAGAATCCAGGGCCTCGATACCGCTGAGGGTCTGTTTCTGTTTGGACAGGAACATTTCTACGTTGTGGATGGCGTAACACTTTTGTCCACTAAGGAGATTAAAGATATTGACTCTCTACCTCAAGGGTATGAGCCTTCTCTCTAAAGTTATAGTATTTTTATTTCAATATACTAAACTGCTTGTTGAGAAGTTTATGAAATAAACGAGTCGTAACAATTCCCAATACAGGCATTTAAGAGCAGTTTTCAGTTGAATGTCGAAGACAATTCACATGGCATTGATGTTACATTAGCCACGCTTTATCCTTGTTCCAACGTAAACCAAAACTAATCGTAACTTTAGCGAAGACATTAAACCGCGCTCTGCAGAGAGTAGAGTTTACTTATCTCACTTGTATCTCCAAATTGCTTGACTGAAGTCACTGAACTGCAGTATTTTAGGATGTGTCGTGTAAGCTTCACTGACTTGTCTCCTTTTCCTCCAGGACACATGATCCTATAATCCCTAACCCTTCCCATGAGAAGGCTAGATCAAGCACAATGGAGAGAATGTAAGTACAACCAATATGTTGCCTCTAGGTCGTCCCTTTCCCTTCCTGGAAAGTGAACTTGCTCAAAGTCTAAGCTCAGCAAGGTCTTCGTTAGTCCCCTCCCCTCCCCCTTGAAAGTGAACTTGCTCACAGCCCAAGCCTAGCAAAGCTTAGTTTATTCCCCTTTCCTCTCCCTTCAAAGTACATTTACTTACGGTATAAGCACAGCAAGGACCCTCCCCCCCCCCCTCCCGTTGATAGCCGGTTAGCCGATCACATGCCGGCAGCCTGTTTTACCATGCATTAAGTAACCATGCCAGGTACTTTGAAGCGTTCTCCATAGTTTTCTGTACAGAAATGATTTATCCTATGTGTTTATAGGTGCAGCAAGTGGGCGTATGAAGATATCCGAGAGGTGCACAAAAGGCGATATCTACTACAGGTTTGTTTGCTTTCGAATTTTTAGGAGACTTTTGAAATAGACAAGACTTGAAAATAAGTCCATGCAGCGTTAACTTTTAAAATTGAAGTTCAATGCTAGATACCAGTTAAATAGGCTTCGTCGTTAAAGGTCCACTGAAATTCTAGTCGCCTCTAATGAGATGTAGTTTCACCAAGTAATACTTCATTTTCCTTTACTCAATCGTAGAACCAATCATCCAAATGGTAATCATTCACTACTCGTATCATTCGCACGAGTCTCACCACTTGAATCGTAATTTTCAGGACTTGAACTACTGGCGAGTATTAGAAAACCGTCATTGTTTAAGTCACCATTCAAATAAAACGCTTTTATAAAATAATTAACGTTATTGTTTGTATCATTGGGTCTATGGGATGGTACAAAATGTACGATGTACCTTACCTTGGCTCTTGTGTGCACTCCTTTTAGATATAATCGCTTCTATTTTATATTGTATTTTTTTCGTTTCCAGGAGACAGCTCTGGAAGTGTTTTCCAGTGACGGACGAAACCATTTTCTTGTTTTCCCTAAACCTGTAAGAAGCAAAGTTTATGAGAAGTAAGTCATCCTTCTGAATTCAAATCGTTCGAATAATTCACCGCTAAAATAAAGCCCGTGGTTTTTAACACTGCTTATTGTTAATTTGAGCAGCATGGTGTTGTCTACAGTCAAGAGCCATTATGGCTCTTGATACAGTTTTATAATGGGTAATGGGCTGTGTTGTGTTATGTTATGTGCTGCTATAGTACGTTGTATTACGTCATGTCATGTTGAATTGTGTTACGCCTAAGTTGTGTCACGCTTTGAAGTGTTGCGTTCTGTTGCGTTGCGTTGCGTTGCGTTAGATAACCAGGACTGTAAGCTTTTACCTGTACAGTCAAAACTGTATTAGGCAGTCACCTTCTTCTGGCAAAGTCCCGAAAATCATGTCTCTTAACTACTGTAAAACGGACCTGTATTAAGCGGTCGCGGTCACGTTGTCCCAGGTCCCAGTTATTTTTTATTGTCTTCACACCTCTGTTAAACAGTTACTTTCTCAAGATGTACCGTACTAATTCAATACATATAAATATGATGTGCGTGGCGTTTATTGGTTTTTTCATTTATTTCTTTTGGCACAAGAAGGGGAAGACAACAATTTCAGTTTCACCATCTTCGTTTTTTTTAATTAACTCTTATGTTTGTCAAACCTGTATTAAAAGGTCAACCCCAATAGGTAGGTTGGCTATTCCCAAATACGGACCGTATTTACCTGTAGTGAGTGTTTTCTGTCCTCTCTAAAAATTGCTTTTTATGTGCGTTCTCTGGACATAAAAAACGTGTGGTATGCGATGTTTTTTTTTTCTTTTTTTTAATAGACTCGTGAACAAGGCACCAACGCTGCGTGAAAACGCTGAAGAGTCAGTTGTGGGAATGAAATGGGACACGGATGTCGAGGCTGGGTCAGTGAGACTCTTTTCAATTATATTGTGTTGTCTTTTCTTTTCTGTTGTCCCGTTTTCTGTTTTAGCATTTTAGATCCATAGTAACTTATGGTTCAGTCCAGAGGGGATAAAGTTTTTAATTTTCGTCTCTTTCACTTCTGCACCTCTATACTTTTTTGCAGGAGCTCTGATTACCCTTAAGTTATTGTGCAAAGGTGGTTTAAATGAATTGCATTCATAAATTATTAAATTTTCACCAAAATTTCGTATCGTGTTTTAGCGAAACTTTCAGGCAATTCACGACATGTCTTAAGAACAGCAGAACATTAACAAAACATTTCGGTGTTAATTTCAAACCAAAATCTTTATACAATCATGATAAAACGTATAACGCGTTTCTTTTTAACTTATTTACTGGTGGTGTTTTTTGCATTTTTACCGTTCTTATTTGATAGGTTGGGTCTGATCAACACACTGATGGGAGAACGATCAGTGACACAGAGATGGGAGGTAACATTACACGAGTCTTATTCTCCCTACAGTAAGAGTACAATGCCTAAGACAGAGACAACAAGAATACCGAATATCATCAACCAGAAGATCTAATCTACCCATGCATCGTCAGCCCATAGTTAAGTTTTGACACTGCAATAAATGACCAAGTAAAATGTTGTCCTTGTCAGCGGTATTGTAGCCTGCAGAAGAAGAATTTGGATGAGCTCCGCTTTGGTGTGTCACCGCTTTTGCTTTTGTCCTAATGATTGTTTATTGATGGTTTGTCTCATTAGCGAGGTGAAATAACGAACTTCCAGTACCTGATGCACCTCAACACTCTGGCGGGCCGCTCATACAATGATCTGATGCAGTATCCTGTCTTTCCTTGGGTCCTGTCTGACTATGAATCTGAGGTATATATCTTTAGCCCGATTTAAACCGTACAGCCTTGTCGTATGTGATGTGCTCTCTGTAAGCCTACGGCACGAGTTGTGTCGTGTAAATAAAACGTACAACTGACGTACCTACGATTGTCGTAGGTTTGATTTACACGACACAATTTGTGCTGTAAGCTTATCGTAAGCGCAATGCATGTGGCAAATTGCACTCCGTAAATCAGCCTTTTTGAAAACACACGTCAATGTTGAGAAGTGGACTGTCTATCCTCCTTCCGCCCTCCTCCCCATCATATATATACCTCTCAACGCAGGATAACTCGCATTGAAAACGTGATGACGTGGGAACATTAAGGGTGGTGGGGGGGGGGATGCATGTCTTGTGAAAAAAAGCGAGAGAAAGTAATGAATAAGACCCAGAGGAAGTTAAGTACATGTGCGTGTTGTTTATCATTGGTCCACCACAGGAGCTAGATTTGGCCAATCCAAAGACATTCCGCGTGTTTTCCAAACCGATGGGAGCTCAGTCTGAAGAGCGACTCTTACAGTTCCAAAAGAGGTACCGGGAGTGGGAAGACCCGACCGGGGAGACTCCGCCTTGTCACTACGGAACTCATTACTCGTCAGCGATGATAGTGGCGTCGTATCTCATCCGACTGGAGCCGTTCGCTCAGCATTTCCTTAGACTTCAGGTAATCATGCTACTCCTGAGAGGGGAAAGATGTCAACCGGGAATCTACCTCCGGCTTTTATACATGCCCCTATGAAACCCACTACTCACCAGCTATGATGGGAACATGCTCTCTCATTTTTCTTGTACATAATGCATTCCCTAAGGAAAATACCAAGAATCGAGTGAAAATAAAGCTGTTTCCCGAGAGATCACTTGGCATTATGTGTTTGTTGTGTAGTAGCGAAGAAGAATTAAAGTCGGATAACTCTCCCTTTCCTGATCGACATTTCCTGCTTCTTATCAACGTAGATGTTCTTACCACGAGTAAATTTTCAAGCAAGCAAAAGTTGATGGAATTGTATCCTGCACGGGATATAATTCAGCCATTGCTGCCCGCATGGAGGGGATAACTTGTATTAAGTTCCTATCTCGTGACCTAAGCCCACAGTGGGAGCAAGCGATTGATTACTAGACCAACGGGCTATTTATTTATAACAAGGTGTGTGTTATTGTCTTATGTTGTTAATTATCACCTATTTTTAATATTCTAACAGCTCTCTTGTCTTCCCCTTGCAGGGTGGTCATTTCGACCTTCCTGACCGCTTGTTTCACTCAGTGAAAGATGCCTGGCTGTCAGCTGCTCATACCAACATGGCGGACGTAAAGGAACTCATCCCCGAGTTCTTCTATCTCCCAGAATTCCTTACGAACCATAACAAGTTTGAACTGGGTACCAAGCAGAACGGAGTGGCTCTGGGCGATGTTATTTTACCACAGTGGGCCAAAAATGATCCGCGAGAATTCATCCGGCTTCACAGGAAGGTTGGTATATTGTTATTCATCACAACCGTTGCTCCATCAGATGGGAACGGGAAAAAAAGATAGTCTGCTAGCTGGCGGGATTTATTGCGCTCAACTGCGTCAATCCATGGGCGCTTTTGTTGTTTTTGTTCAGGCTGTAAAGCAGCGAAAACTGAATGAGGAAGAGTCAAATTTGGGGATTTTCGCCGCAAGCCACATGCCGCGGCTCCTTCGCTAAAAAGCCCTTACCCTCTCTGATCCCGTGAATAAACGCTGGTTGCAAAAGGTGGAATGGTAAACAAGCTCGTCGGGCATCTATTGTGCCATAATGTGCTTTACGTACGGGATTCGGCTAAGAAAGTAACAGGTTTGAATAATCTGCAAGTTCAAACAAATGCCAGGTCCACCAAGACAAGTTTGAAATAAAAATTACCGTACTACTGTAAGTTATGGTAATGCTTACTGTCTTTAATTGGAATGTACCTGCGGATTTTGTCTACAGAACCGCTAATATCACCGCAGGAAATTGTTTGTCAGCTGAAAGCTTTCAAGTGAGATTTGCTTTGTCAGATTGGCGCTACAGTGCGCTTAGTTTTGCATAGGATAACACGTGTGAATTTTCGTTTCCAGGCGCTAGAGTGTGATTACGTCAGCGCTCATCTTCATGAATGGATTGATTTAATATTTGGATGTAAACAGCAGGGATCTCTGGCTGTGGAAGCTAACAATGTTTTCCTACATTACTTCTATGAGGGAAATGTTAATATCCTTTAAAAAAACGCTTGAAATTTTCAAGCAATATCTACCCTCTATAGAGTCAGTATGTAGTTGTGGTTCCAACATATTACGCAGCGAGTTTTCTTCGGCAAATCCACGCGGTTTAGACATTTTTTTTTTTTTCAGTCTTCGAAACCGGTATTGGTATTGTTACCGAAGTGACTGGGGTGGAGGGTGTGGTGAGTGGGAGTACTACTTGTTCTGAGATCTCATTTCCCACCCCAACCTGTGGATAAGTTTTTTGGGGTGGGTGGGAGGTGGGGTGCAAGTTTTGTGTCGTTATCTGCAAAAATGCACGAGCCTGTTCTGTGGGAATAAGGAGGATCATCTTCCTTACGAATTGCACGTTCATTCTTATGATTTGCTGGATTCTGTATTAAAAAATGTTGAAGAAAGCCGGTACGAATCCCCAAAAATGTTTAATGTTGTGTAATTAATAGTGTAAAATCGTTCAGTAAGAATAGAAAAGAAAAATATGTCTGATTGTAACGATTAGTAAAAGGGGATCAGCACAGGGTAAAGTAACGGGGAGGAGAGTGAATACGTGGCCAAGTGTGAAGCTGTAGCAAAGGATTGTGGTCGCATTGTTAGATTTCTTTAACAGTTTTCACATATTCATGGGATTGATGATCCTGTAAAGAGAAATGCAACTATAAGTATTATTAACAACTTTGGACAAACGCCCAAACAGGTAGGGATTATCTGTATTTCAGTAATTTACTTTGTTGTTTTTAAATTGTTTACTGGAATATTATGCCTCAAAACCACTTTCCTTTTGTAGCTGTTCAAACGTGCCCACCCCCCTAAGAAGGTATTTCGCAGCGTGGAGCCTGATTCGCAGACTGGAATACTGGTGAATGTTGATCGATTATTCTTTCATAATCTTCCAAATCTCGTGCCTTCAGCTCAGCCCGTCAAAGGTTTGTACTTTCCTTCTAAGTGTTATTATGATCCTAATGCTAAATTATCCCCCTGATGGGAAGTGCTGTTGACACCATAAGATTTGATCCTCAGAAACAAACTACCTGTACGTCTAAAGTGCCACGGATTTTAGTTTTTACCACAATGGTCACACTTAAGGAATTCTCTGAAGGACTCAAAGGTTAGAACCACCCTGTACAACATTAAAAAAAGACTAGTACTGGCCTCTCAGAAGCTTTCATTAGAATGGTCTCACTTTAAGTAGTCACTCTCAAACTCAAAGGTTAGGCAAATTTTTTGCTGTGGGATTAAGTCCTTGGTGGTCGTACGTTAAGTGCGCTTTTGAAGTTTATATTTTGAGAATTTTTGTATTTGTTTTGTGTCGTGGACAGAGCTGAAGGGACCTGTTGGACAGATGATTCAAACTGATAACAGAGGACTCCTGGCAGTGGAACGAAACAAGGTTTAATTACTTGTCTTGTCTTTTTATGTTTATTATTCTTTCGTTCAACGTCATTAATTGACAGTGTTTAAGACCTGGTCAAACTTGTTAGCATTATTGCGAAAAATGTTTCTGTTGTCGTGTCCAAAACGTGGAATATAATTGATTCTGAAGAACACTATGCATTCGGTCGAGGAGGGAAATTATAATTTCAAACATTTACGTCCACAGTAACTTTCTTTGGGTAGCCAGGTCGTCAATTATGTCGCTCTCAAGAGTTGCTTCAAATCAAACTACATAAAAATACCCAATCTGATTTCGTTAACTACCGAAGAACAAGTGGTGTAATATAAAAGTACCCAGAGCTGAAGAGATTTCATTTGAATGGTCACACCATAGGATTTCATCCACAGACTTAAAAGAACTACATGCGAAATAAATAGTACCGTATTAAAGTGCTGCTAAAGAGGTTTCATTTAATGGTTAAATCAGACTGGAGACTCAAACGGTTTGTCTGCTTCTTCACTCTCGTTCGCCCGTTGCTGTTGTTTTATGTTTGGAGTTTATTGTAATACTATATCCACTGAGTCATATCTTGTTATAGGTGTTGGTGCCTCCTTATAACAACCGCTACATCGCCTGGGGCTTTGGTGATCTGAGCATGCGTACTGGAGTTTATGAAACGGAAAGGGTAATTTGTTTTAGTGTCTCCACTAGTTTAAAACTGGAGTCATCTAAGCATTTAAAACAGTCACATTCAAGACTGTAAATTGATGATTTCAGCCATCTGAAAATTGAATCAGGGGCTTATATCAGATCAGCTACCAGTAAAACATAATCATATATTTTCCAGTGCTTCCTACGATTTTCCCGCTTTTATTTATTGAGTCGGGCAGACATTTTGCAGCATTGTTTATTTGCTCGACCATTTCGAGCTCTGAAATTGAGGAAGCTTTCATTGGTATCATTAAGATAAGAACTAATACAGTTCGTTCCAGACCTCGTAAAGCAGACTGTATCTTAAATATTCCAAATTAATCGTCGAAACACGAGGAAAAGACGGTCTTTTAGTTTATATGAGACCTCGTGAGGTCTGAATGTGAATAAAGGGGTAAATTATTGAGCTGCTATGAAAATAAGGATGAGCCACGTCTATTTTGTACAGGAAAAAACTAACGTAACACAGTCTGAGGACAGAAATAGTTTCCCTAAACGTATACGCGTCACTCACCATCAATCCACTCTGTGGAGGATGAAGGAAGAAAGTCTTTCAAATAAGCTCACAAATAATTTCGAAAACCCTTTGTAATTAGACTACGAGTGGTCCCCATTTTTCCTCAGGGATAGTAGAGCGAGCGAAACGCGAGCACGCGTGAAAATTACCTCTCTCTCTCCCCGCCGCGTCTCGCGTTTCTCGCTTGGGGTGATTTTCACTCGCGCTGGCGTTTCGCTCGCCCTACTATCCCTGACGAAAAATGGGGACTACTCGTAGTCTACTTTATAATCAGGACGAAATACATAAACTGGAGTCGAAATCTTAGGAAGCTCCTTGTTGGCAGTAACGTTCCAAAGTCCATCGTTTCGTTTGTTGTTGTTGTTTGATTTGTCGACTTGTTAATTGTATGAATATCTTTTTTAGATCCTCGCTGTTTACGAGAACTTCCATATTGGGCAAGTCCTTTGTGCCTCGTGCCCAGACTCCCGCACTCTCATAACTGGAGGGACAAGCACGGTAAGCAACTAAAGGCGGATCAGTTTAGGTTTCTGGGAAACTGCCCACCTACCCCACCCCTAAGCTAACATTAACACTTACTTCTCATTTAGGGCAAAATGATGGCTTGGGGAAGGGTTAGGTAGGCAGTTTCCCCGAAAACTAAATTGATCGCTAAAGGCAACAAAGTATGGTACTCACCAAGAGCTCATACGTCCGTCACCATTAAGACTAATTAATTGTATATTATTTGTTATTTTAATGTAGCTTGTTTGTGTCTGGGACATGGTGAAGAGCAGTGGAAGGGAGAAAAAACCACAGATCATATTACACGAAGTAAGTAGATCATCTGCCTCTACCCCAGCGGTTCTTTTGGATGATCTTTAACCCCTACACGTGTTCTTGTGACAGGTTTTATATGGCCACCACGCGTCTGTCACGTGCTTAGCTGTATCCACGGCGTACAATCTCATCGTCAGCGGTTCCGAGGTGAGAGGTCATAGCCTTGAAATTCTACTACTGTGTTTTCTACAGTCTTATAAGATGTAGACGTTTTAAAGGAGTTAAAAGAAATTCTAGTTGATTTTTAACCAATTAACATCATGTTAAGCTAAGTTATTTTTTGTTGTTGTTGATTTTTAACCAATTAACATCATGTTACGGAAGGTTTTTCAGCTCTCTGCAGTTGTTATATGTTATCCCGAGATTTTGGAAGCTGTCCTGGTTCACTATACCACTGTTGTGTGGCATAGTGGTTTCGTTAAGTGTGAGTTTATGACCGTATATTGTCACCCTCTGAAAAATAATCTTCTGTATTGATTGCAGGATTTAACGTGTATAGTGTGGGATCTGAGTAAACTAACTTACGTCAGACAGTTGTCTCAACACATGGCACCAATCACAGCCATAGCAATCAACGACTTAACGGTAGGTTAATTTGTATCTTCCAAAGGTGCTACGGAGATCTATAGTTGTGTACTCTCATATATATAGGTGTGTCTTTAAGGTGTCCCTGTAAGTGATTAGATAGGTCATTTCAGAGTTCGTTAAACTCTCACTTTCAAAACGAGGCTAAGTGCAAAACCTTGCTTGTGAAAATGAGTTTTATTTTCATGAGAATAAAGACTCATTTTCTTAATCACGTCGCTCTTAGCCTCCCTTTGAAGGGCTTGGAAGATGGAATGAGTATATACAGAAACCAATTTTCCCTCTGGAGTTTGTTTATTAACTTCTTGCTCATAGTTTTTAATCTTCAATCACCTTGATTAACAAGGTTCTAAGAATTGTAAAATATTCTCGAAAATAAGTTGTGCTAAGAACTCCAAACTAACTACAGCATTTTACGACCGAATAAAATCTCGGCGAGACTTACATGCAAATCTTGCTAGAATATTTGTAGAAAGAGATTTCGACTGTCGTAATGCCCCCTTAAGCTTAGCAAGATGTTAAGGAAATACTGCGCAGTAGCTCTTGGTAAACATGCATTGGTATGTGTGTAAGCAAACAACCACTCTGCTGGAATAAAAATTGCCCTCTTAAATGCAGTGTCATAGGAATGCTTTCTTAACGCATCCAAACTCTGTCTTGTTACCCAGTGAAGTGAAATGTTTGCTTCAAAAACAAGTTCAGCGACCATCCGGCAAGAATAGACTGGAGGGAAATAGTGGTGGTGGTGCTGGGTAGAGGGGAGAGTTATTCGGGCACTGCTTGCCTCCCCACAGCTCTCTATCACCGGTTTGCGTGGTCGTTACTGAATCTGCTTGCTCACTCGACTATCTGAACGGTTTAAAGCCTTCCTCAGTCAGTAAACGCTGTGGTGTTTTTCTTCCAGGGCGATATCGCGTCTTGTGCAGGCACGTATCTTTACGTGTGGTCTGTGAACGGTCAATTGATTGTCAAGGAAAATACCTCACTACAAAACAACAACCACATACAGTGCTGCGCCATGTCTGAGGTAAATCCTAAGTATCTTGATCAGTATCCAGTTTCTCCTTTTAACATCTTTACTTAATCAACCATTAAGGTTGTAAGAACAAAGGGAATGCTCAGCGAAAATAAAGGTCCACATTAGTCTTGAGTTTTGGACAAACTTTCCTCATTAGTTCAATGGGAAATGTGTGAACAAAAGTATGGAGAATATGTGTTGTGATAAGTCTAAAATGGTTCGCCTTTTTGGTTGAATCTGAGTGCAAAAATACTAGGTAGTGAATTAGTTATATTCCTTGCGAATGATTTCGGTTCGGTTTTGGCCAATGTTCGTGAGCATTGTACACAGCATAACAAACATGGTCTCGAATGTGTACTGATGTGGACTGATGATATTAGTTGAATGCTACTTTGGAACTCGTCACTCATTGTGCAACAACAACAACAACAACAACAAATTTTATTGAAAATTGGAAAATAACTAATTACATTACTTTCCCACCCGCAAATAGCTTATGAACTAATCGAGGCGGGGGGAGCTGAAGACATATTACAAAACAAGAATTATATATAGATGGACTAAATAACAGTGAAGACACTACAATACAGTAAATAGAGTTTAAACTAACATAAAACAAAAAACAAAAAACAAGGCATGTACATAACGATTACGAAGAGAGGTTAACTAAAGTATTAAATAACTTAATAAGACGGGAGACTTCGACATAATCATCTTCTGACCGCAAAAAATTTAGTAATAATTCCTTTATTTTTTACGAAAGGACGAACGTTTAAGTATTTTAATCGAATACGGAATAGAGTTCCAAATTTGGGCACCGATTCTCGTGAAAAAGGCATACATTTTATCGGTTCTAGAGAACTTAACATTAAACGAGTCGAGTGTCTTTTGGCGATACAACTCTTCTAAAGACTAGTGATTTAAAAATATCGCTTCTTTGTTAATTTTCAGTTGTCTGAATGGGATGAAGAAAATGTGATCCTGACGGGCAGCATGGATGGTGTAGTACGGGTAAGGATCCGATTAAATATGGGAGAATAGCTTGCATTTTTTTACTTAAATGTGCTTTCTTTTATTAAAGATGTGGGGAATCGAATTCTTCGATGAAGCAGCAAAAAGTCGGCGCAGTTCCAAAATGTCACCTAAAAGAAGGGACTCGATATCGCCCAAGAAACAAGAGGAGAAAGCGGGCATTATTAACAAAGACCAAGCTTCTACTTCAAGGCCAAACGCCTCTTCCAGTGATGGTGACAAGGCCTCTTTTACCCCGAGCCTACCATCTGCTCGGCCAGCAGTATCCTCTGAACAAGCAGAGCCTCGACCTGAAGTGACAAATCACGAAAGCTCTGAAGAGAAAGGAACTGAACACGTGACCGTGGAAGCTGTAGGAAGCGACAGGAAGCGTCACGTTACTCCTAACTTACGTGATGAAAGCATCGATGATGGTTATGTTATTATTGAACGCAAAGGAGGTATTGAAGAAGAACAGTTAGCAAGACCAGGTATTTGACACAGGGTTCGCAAATACGCCAAAATTGTTCAGATGACTCCACTGAGGTTACGGAGGGAGTCACTTCGACTCCAAAAAGTTTCGATAACAAACCAGTTTTTGTCAGGGCTGTCAAAACGTTTTTCAATAGCAGGCTGATAATGAATAGTAGGCGGCTTTGGAACTCGCACCAAAGGCGCACGTTTTTGAGGGCCGAGGCATCTAGGGACACTGTGAAATTTAGAATCTCGGAAATCGCGTCTCCAGGGGTGTTCAATGGGTATTTTCCACCGCGGACGCCATGTTGTTTCGTCGGAATACACGCAAGACTGGAAGCAATGCCGTCGAAATGTCCCAGGCGTTCCACGACGTCGCACGGTTCGAACGTTTCACAGGTCTGAAGCTGTTTAAATATGCGTTCAATGTCATTCAAAACTGGGAAACGGATGCTTCACAATTTTATTCGATGGTGCTTATTTTTTTTAGCAGTTATGACTCACTTATGGTAGAAGGAGATGGAAGTAGCCGGCTAAGGATGGCGAACTAGCCGGCGGTTTTGGCCGGCTACCGGCCCTTATTGACAGCCCTGAATTTGTCCTTACCTTTTTCGCAACAAATACAATTTACGTTAATACCTTAATTAAATCATCGAAATTAAAGAATTATAGTGCACGACAAATCAGGAACAGGGTAAATTACGATCAAAGTTTACTCGATCACGGCCATCATGAATTTGAGCTCTCCAGGTCAGCGGACCGCCACAGCTACTTCGTGTATCCCTCACGATAGTGTATACATGCCGAGACCACGTGCTGGAAATTCTGATACTTGACTCCAAATATTCCAAAATGACTCCAAAATTTGTGATGCAGAAGTCACACTGACTCCCCTCATAAATGAAATTTGCAAACCCTGTTGACAGATTTATTGGCTTTTTTTCCCTTTAAATTCTCTAAATGACTGTATTATCATTTGTGTTGTTTGTACGTGCTGTTAATCGTGTGTCGTTTGCTTGTTCATATTCAGCGTGGAAAAGGCGTCTGGTGTTGAGACATAAGCTGACCATGCACACGGCATTTGACAGAGAAGATAATGCCGCCCCAGCTGCTATCACTGCTTTGCTTGTGTCCAAGTAAGACTGGCTTTTGTTGTGTGACTGCGGACTGATTCACGAAATGGCGAATGACTGATTACTGATTACTTGAATGACTTGTCGACTGACTAACTGAGTGATTGACTTGTCTGATTGACTCACTGCCCGACTGACTCGGCCAACTTACTGACTCTTCATCTGAAAGTTATAAAATCCACGCTGTAAGAGGATCTTAGCATTGGCTGAACGTCGGTTTAAGACCTTATAGCGTGGATTTTATACCTTTCAAATGAATGTTGAGTAACTACGCTTCGCGGAGATTTTTTATTTTTAATCTTGTTACTCAACTAACTGACTGGTCTAACTGAGAGACCTACATCAATTGTAATTACAGGTAACTGACTGAATGACTGCGTGATTGAGATAATATTGAATAATCAAGGGCCTGTCAATTTTGTTGTTGTTTTCTACCAGGGATCATCGTAAGTTACTAGTTGGCGATTTCCGAGGACGAATCTACAGTTGGTCTGTGACGGATGCTGCAGGTATGAATGAGTTACGGTCTGTGGCTTGTGAAGTACGTTTTTTTGTAAATAATTTTGTACGCTTGTTGGCTTTTAGGTCGGATGGCAGATCACTGGGTTAAAGATGAATTTGCAGACCAGTGTTCGGGCTGTGGAATTAAATTTACTACCTTAATTGAGAGGCGTCACCATTGCAGAGATTGTGGGAAGGTTTTCTGTGCAAGGTATTACGTGTTCTTTCCTGTTAGCTTTTGTTGCGCATGCTCTCAAGCTAAAAGTATTACACTATAATTTCGGATGTGTGACCAGTATTTGAATTTAAATAGTTCGCATTATTAAGTATCATTATGAAGGATAGAGTAATTCATTATTACGGATAGCAATGTACTACATTGTTCCAGGTGAACAATATTATACACTAACAGTCATGTGATTTTTTTGTATTGTCATGTATTGAAAAGCACGTGAATAGCCGTATTTGATCAAGTTGTTACTGTGATGTGATCACTTAAATATTTTGTAGGTTCTATCCTGTTTCTAATTATTGGGGTTTTATCGCCTCCTTTTTAGGTGTAGCTGTTACGAGGCAGAGATCGCCCGTCTTGGTATCCATGCCCCCGTGCGCGTGTGTCAGTCATGTTACAACAAAATCAAGAAGTCATCCAAAAAGGCGAAAAGCTAGCACAACACAACGAAACGATGTTGAGGAACTCCAGAACGTAGGAGGGTGAATGAAAGAGGAATGTTGTAAACATACAGGCTGCAGCAGTGAACGAGAAAAGGAAGAAAACGGCCGATCTTCGTTGGTCAAAGACTAGAACAAATCTGGTCAACACACTGCATTGTTGTGGTGGACAGAGAGAGAGAGAGAGTACGAGCGAGTGTGGTTTACTTCCTGTAAGCACTTAATTTCTTAACCTCTTGAATAATTTGTGAAGAGAAAACAAAGGATGGAGGTTTAGAAATCTATCTTAATTATCCTAAAATTTTGCGAACTTTACCTTTGCATTTCAACAAGAATATGATTCATCTGAGCTTTGTTACACACTCGATACAGTGTTTCATCCGATATCCAGCCACCTCGAAGTCAGTTTGAAAAAGCAATGCTACGCCTTGTCTTCTTTCCAACTTATTTCTTGGTGGCTGGATGTCGTGTTCCATATGTTATGTCATAGTCAGTTGATGTAGAAAGACTTCAGTTTGGGCTTTTCTTAGAAGAAGGAATCTGTAACACTGCAAGTTTGCGCCTGTTTCATCTCAGTGTATGATTTTAGACTTGAAGAAGGTGTGGGTTCTTGTAGGTTACAAATCCTCAACTTAAAACAAAATCCGATGAGACAAAATAAATCCGATACTCCTTCCTTTCTGTATTAGTCTAAGCTGACAACTTCTTAACCCTTTAAGCCCTTAGAGTGATCAGCATCAAATTTCTCCTTGTAATATCAATGCATTGTAAAACAGGGTGGTCATGAGAATTACGGACATGATCACACAAGATGAATTTGCTTGATATTTTATCAACTTGCCCCACTACTACTGTTAATAGAGGCAACAAATGAGAATTCAAATTTTGATCTTAGGGTCTAAAGGGTTATATTTGCAAATGCCGCTCTTCCCTCTTCCAGTTGTGTCAAATTTTGTAGCTAGACCTTGACGCGTGACTAGAAAACGCCCAAAAACATCTATCAACTGAAAGTTAACTAAACTTGACCTTGGTATTTCATTTTCTTTTTTATCTGCCTGTTATTAATTCTACGACTTTTAAAATTCTTGGTATTCTGTGATTATTTTAATCGTTGAAAGAATCAAAGTCCAAATACGTTTTCTTAGTGCATCAGCAAATATGGCACCAATACGGTACCAATACAGTACCGACAATGTTATCTATATAGCATTTTTAAAACACTCCTCTCGCGTTTACCAAAAGAGTACTCTTTCCAGTAATATATTGTGCTTAACGAAATTCTATACATGATGAAAAATCTATTAACGGGATAAGATAAGACTGTAAATAACTTATTTTCAAGAAGGGACAATAAACCAGACTGAGGCAAATTCGCCTTAGACAAGAAATGTGTTAACCTTTTAATTAGCAGTTACAGTTTCCTAAACACTGCTTACAAAGTTGGTCTTACAGTAACTGGTAAATGAGATTCACGGTAGACCTTGATTGGATAAAACTTCCCTGATTTTCATATGTTTACAGTTTACCACGTTCTCATCGATGCTAACTAGTAATTGTTACGCATGATTTCGATATCAAAAGCAGTATAAAGGTTTGTATTTAAGCAAAATTTACCCCAACCTCACATTCACTCAAGAAGACTGTGTATGAAGCACGTGTAAAATGGTCAAACTACAATTTGTGGGTACCACACGTATTGGACATCGAGGAAAGGTTCTGTCACCAAACTAGATTTGTTAAAACGATCGAGTTTCCTACCAAAAGCGTTTCACTGGACGTTTAATTCAAATTGATTTTGCCCTCGGTAAAGTACGGTTTAAGTTAGTGGAGCGCAGATTGCATTACAAACATGCTATGCAGTGATTGTATTGCACAGAGCGATAAGAATGGTCTTCAGTGGTGTCAAGCTGCGTCTTGTCACGCCTAGTTATGATCGCCGGCCTACTTTCTTCTGATATCACAAGTTGGATGTTTTTAAGCCGTTTTACAGAGCATACATATAATGATGGATTGTTATATTCCTAGAATTTCACTCAACTAAACAGGGACTGCCATTGGTTGATTCTTGGTCACGTGGCCTTGACTAAAATCAAATGTATCCCGATCGTGATACATTAAACAATGTATCCCGCTCGGGATACATTGCAGCACGTGATCAAAGCATGGTAGAAAGTGGCGTGACAGAAGGCGGGAAAAACACCGCCAGGTCCTGCCGGTTTTCTTTTTCGTGAATGAACACAACAACACAATCACGAAGCTTCAAGCTAAAAAGCATCGATTTTTAAAGTTATCCCAGAAGTTCCCAGAAGAAAAACAGCAGCTTGTGGAGGAAAAAGATGCAGATGATATAAGGAAAGTACTTTTGTAAATCATTCATTCAGTGCCTTTGAGAATTAAATTTGTGTTAAGTACCGAGTCGACTGTTTTGGTTCGTTTTCGTTCGCTCCGGTTATTCTTTTGTTGCTGTTGAAGTGAAAGTTCTAGAAATATAACAAAACACTTAATGTCAGAACCCTCGGGAAACCAGTTAGTTTTGTTTTCCCTCGAGTCCTGATGTTTCCCTCGACTTCGTCTCGGGAAACATCAGGACTCTCGGGAAAACAAAACTAACTGTTTCCCTTGGGATCTGACATTAAGTGTATATTGTTATCCAAGGGTATTTACACTCCACTTTGTAACAGTTATTCTTTATGGGGAAAAGATTGTTTACTAGTACCCACAATCTTGGACAGAATAAAATCGAACACCAAATTCCCATCCCCCCAAATCAATGATGCATCTGTGTAAAAGCCAAAACTCGCTATTTTCCCATCCTTGATTTCTATCTATTTTGTCCAAGATTGCAGATTGGACTCACGCGCATATAGATGCCCCATTGCTGAAAAACTGGTAGCGTAGGGTTCCATATTTGATGCAAACAAAACTGAACCATCGATTCGATTATTATTATTATTAGTAGTAGTAGTAGTAGTAGTAGTAGTAGTAGCAGTAGCAGTAGCAGTAGCAGTAGCAGTACTAGCAGTAGTAGTAGTAGTAGTAGTAGTAGTAGTAGTAGTAGTAGTAGTAGTAGTAGTAGTAGTAGTAGTAGTAGTAGTAGTAGTAGTAGTAGTAGTAGTAGTAGTAGTAGTAGTGGTAGTGGTATTGGTAGCGGTAGCGCTAGTGGTAGTGGGAGTGATGGTGGTGGTGGTGATGGTGGTGGTAGTGGTAGTAGTAGTAAGAGCAGTATTTTACACACCACCCTCAAGCTTTCAGCTCTCTAATCTACCGTGTAAAAATATAGGCTCTACCACTATCCCTGCTGTATGGGCCACTGCTTAACTTATTAAGAAAACTCAAGTAAGGCTTGTAAAGGTTACTTAGATGGATAAAAGGCAACCCCAAACTCAGTTTACATGCTTTTAAAGCAAAGCCTGGATTGAATATGCGAGTGTTCCAGCTTCCCTTGTAGTAAGATAACTTTTTGTCTCGTGGAAAACAATAGCGAGAGGACAAGCCGGGTTCAAATGCAAGAGGACGCTGATTTCATTTAGTGTCGTTAAGTAGAACCACTTTTAAAAAAGGAACAATGAAAGAAATTGTATCAGCAATAATAATGTTGAATGAGTCTATTCGACGTCCATACCTTATTTTCATTGTACCAGCCATAGCCAAGGAATTTGTTTAAAAGATTTTTGCTCCCACGAGAAAATAACGGTTGAGAAACGAAGGGCTCTTTCCATTTGTCAGAACTGACTAGCCAGCCCATTCCAATCGTAATGAGAACTTCACTTTTTTATCAAAACTAACCAAACATCAGTCAAATCCTAAATATTATAGCCAAAGGAGATGGTTTTTTCAGCAAAAACTATTGGAAAAAAGGCTAATTCATTGCCAAAATATCTGGTCCGGCCATGGTCCGGCCCGGCCAGTTCTAACTTTTGGAAAGCGCCCTAAGAAGCAGGCCACTTTTGTGTAATGCGCGATCATGTCAACAAGGAAGACTGGTTTCTATGGTACTCGGAAACAGAATACAAGGGTCAACTGGAATCAGTGCAGTTAAGTTATAAAGTGCGTTTATTAAAAGGGGCCCTGTCACGGTGATCTACTTTTTTTTGTGGACAATGCCAATCACGCGTCTTTATTCGCTATGGAACTTGAGATGTTACATTTGAGCTATTATTTTAATGTTTCACTTAGTTTGGTGGCGGTTCCCAGAAATCTGAATTATGATAAATCTCGTGACACAGCTCCTTTAAATAAAAACAACACTTGAAATAGGACTCTAAACTATGTTAGTTATTCGACTAAGTGCATGATTAGAAATCTTTTCACAGTTCTTGTTTGTGATGATCGCCTTTCTGGCCAGTGGCTTTGTCACGTGCTTCATCAGCCACGTGACCTGTGTCGTCAGCACTAGATAAGGTGTTTCCATCATCTGTTTTCTTATCTGCTTCGTACCCAGTCTCCACGGCAGTGGAATCATCCTCTTCGTCCTCCATCGGTTCTTCAATCCCGAGAGTCAAATGGATCAGAGCGTAGTATGTGTTCACAAAACTTTGTCTGAATATGAAGTATTTTTCGGCCAGAAACGCTTTAAGAAACTCCAAACGGGTTGTGTTTTCCTTTAACAATTTCTGTTCCTGTCTCTGCGGAATTGTTTCTGTGGATTAAATAAGACAAATAATTATTCAAAAAAGGAAGATGTTCATACGGGAAAGTTCTAGTGATATGTTTGGAGATCTCAAATCCCTCTCAGCTCATGTTATGGGCGACTCGGTGCTAATCTCGTACCCAGACCTCTCTTTGGCTACGCCAACAAGGCATCTGGGAACAAGATTACCTTGGTTCAACGCTCAGACAAGATTGAACTGGTTGGATCTAGTTTTTTATAATTTAGTATACTTTGAAAGTTAACTTAGTAGAAACGAGCGAGACTGAAAGAAAACACAGACAACCAACAGATTTTTCTGTTTTATTATCATTATTATTATTATTATTTTTTTCTCTACAAACAATTATATCTACCTACTAAAAAAATCCTGAAATTCTAAGATGGGGTCGTACGGCTAGGTTTTCAAGATCTAGTTTCTAGTCTCCTTTCTCGGTGCTCGGTCACTATATTTCGCGTTAAACAACGCAATAACTTTTTTAGAAGGAAAAATGATATTTTACATCATTTGCAGAGACTAACAGCTCAGTAGAGGCGTTCAGTTCCTTAAAATGGTTCAGTTTTAAAATGTCGATATTTTTCATCTGAAAACAGTAGTAAGCCACCTTCGAAACTCCCTTTGTCGTAGTCGTCCTCGTCTTAGAATCTGAAGGTCTCCATTATCTACTGCATAGAACCATGCTTTCTCAGTATCGTCCCTCTCATAACTACTTCAACTGAATAAACACATTTAACATACCTGGGTAAAGAATCCAGTTTTTAATGGTCTCGTTCGCATTCATGTAAATGTACATCCAACATGATGGCGTATCAGACACGGTGTATACCAAGTGAGTGTCATTTGATGGCACAGTGATTTCCTCACCAACGTTTACAGTGTGGTTTGTATTGTTAAACTCCACCTTAACTTGCCCTAAGAAAATGAATAAACGCGCTTCATCAGCAGCGATCACCGTGATGTTTAACCTCAAAAGAGCGAGAAAGTAGATTAATATTAAACAATTATTCACCGAAGTGGAGGTTGCTTGTGATGGATAATAGGGAGTTTACGCAACGACGACGGCTACGAAAACGTCATTTAAAAGGTGAATTTGCGCTGCCTCAAACTTAATCGCGGTTATTCCATCTCGTTCAGTTCGTCAAATGTTGGCAAATTTTTTGGAGATGAACTCTAAAGGACTGCATCAAAGTTCAGGTAAAGAAAAAGAAAGTTGTTGTCTTTTGTTCCCGTCGTCGACAAAACGTGAAATTAGGCAGTTCCACGTTGTAGTCGTGCAACGACGGCAGAGAAATGTACGTGCAAAGGTGTTGTTTTGCTTGTCTAAAAATATTGCTTTTTAGCCGTTGTCGTTGCTGTAGCCGTCGTCGTTGCGTAAACTCCCTATTTACCAAGCCGCGAAGCGGCGACGTAAATATCCACCACAATCCACCGACACTGAGGTGAATAATTGTTTTAGTATAAAATAAAACAGTGAGACAATTGAGCACAAAAATGATGATTTTTCAGCCATCTTCCCAGTCGTCCTCGGCGATTTCGGATGTGACGTCACCTGTCAAGCTTGTCGGGAAAATTCGCTCCTCTGGTCACTCGGATAGCGAGAACAGGCCTGGGTACGAGGCTGATGATTTTTAACTCATTTACTGTTGCCAACGGGCATTTTCTTGCCGACAAATAAAACTTTTGAAGGCATTTGTTTAGCTTTTGCGAGGAAATTTCTTCAAAAGGAGTTGTGAATTCCTTTTGTATTTAAAACCATTCTATGCAAAAACTATTAAATCTAGTTTTAAGCTTATTTGTGAACATGTCAGCTAAATAAAGTATCGCAAGACATACTTTGCATTTGTAAACAACAAACTTTTTACCGGTTTCATCGATAAATTCCACTCAAACAGACAAAGCTTTACCTGTTAAGACTTCCAAACCGAATTTCGTCACATTCTTCGTGTATTTCGAAAACAGCTTGTTTGATTATTTGTGAAATTTCTTTGTTTGTTACGGCAGCAAACCACGGGAGGCCATTTTGCTCGTAACTTACGCGAGTTTGGCGTCGCTTACTCGGAGTAAATGGAGGTGAATCAGTGTATAGCACTGGATATCCGGAGGTTGAGTAGCCAATTAGAGCGCGCGAAAAACACTATTTACAGATTTAGCGAAGGCTAAAGGCGAAGCTCCCGTTAATAAAACTATAGTTTACTTAAAACAATAAACTTGTAACAAATACAAATACACTTGGAGTTGAGCCTGAGATCAGTTAAAAACTAGTTACTTGTCAGCGGATAACCTGAGCCTGAGATACGGTCATGTGGATACCCTGTTTCGGCAGCTATTATTTGACCACAACATGGATATGCAATATCATGTTGCAGGCTCCCACACTAGCTAGAACGTGTGAGATTTCACATTGGTTACCCTGTAGTTCAGACGGACGGTCGGTCGGACGGACGGTCACGTGACTACCAAAATTTCTCGGATGGATAGATAACCAAATTTTCTTAGAGCCCCAACTCCGCTATAACTTCATTTTGGGGGGAAAGTTACCAAAGAGTATTGCTCAACATTTTAGCTCCGCGATTGGTCAATTGTTTTCGCACGACATCGCATTACTTTCCCTTCGACACACAACCTGACTTCTTTTGGAGAAACAGAGCAGTTTTCAGTTGTTCATCGAAAATATTTATCAAGCTATTGTATCAATTGAAGAATTTAATAACGCCGAAACTAGTTGTAGAATTGCACGCATTTTAGTCATCAGTCCTAGTGATGAACAGTCACCACATTGAAATATTTCCAGCAACAACAATTATTTTTACTCTGCCCCCTTCGAACAACATTGCTAAACTTTGTGGTAGGCAAACATATCATTTCCCAAAAAGCATTAAACTCCTACCATGTAACAAAGTCAACGACGTGTTAAGGTCGTCAACCACAAAATTTTCCAAGAAAAGTCCAGGAAAATCAGAAACAAACGTTATGTCACTAAAATTTGACTTCTCTTTCAACTCCTTTTTTATCTGAGTCAACTTTTCGCGCCATGGTGAAAGCTCTGTAAGTAATGGCAGCATTCAAGGGGTGTGTTTCCATGGCGACCATGGAGCCTTCACGATGTCTACGGTGGGATCGACCATACGCTGTTGAAAACGTTTGTTCATCGATCGCCACACGTCCAGGTAGATCGCTGGCTCAGTGATATTGAGTTCTTTGGAGGCTTTAAGCTTTTCAGCCATACAGTTTACATACTGTTTGATCATGTCTGGATGAGAGTTCCAGCGTCTCATCCTTCCTTCTCTTAGCCACGCCTTAAAACAAATAATAAGCAAATGGATTTAACTGTAAAAATTGCACAAAGAATCGAAGTTCTACCAGAGCTCTTAATTGAAATCCGCCAAATGGGTTGGCCCTTTTTTAGAGGCTGCTGATACAGTCCCCCATCTCAGTTGAGTGTCGACGACCTCAGTCGGTTGTGCTTGTTCCATGTCCCAGACAGCTGGCATTACACTCTAATTTAAGTTTCGATTTCTTGGGGAGACACTTTCTACATATAAAAGCAGTGCTATGCCATAACTTAATTGAAGCTATGTGTTAATTGTGCGCATAACCGGAAGTCACTAATAACTTGCCATAGGGCTGTGTACCCCGTCATGTGTTGAGAGGACAACAGTATGCATCTCTTTATTATGCCATCTTGTTCTTTTGTTTACTTAGCTTGTGTGACTTTTCATGTGAACTTAAAACCAGAATACTAATGTTAAATATAAATTAGGTAATAACCAAAGATGACGGAGTGCGGGTAACAACGATCGAAAGTCAAAACGCTTTTGCTCCGGCGCTGTGCTTTGCGTAGGTTTCACGTGAAAGATGGTCATAACACGCGTGATCAGATTGCGAGTGAGAAAAGGTACAAACGCGCTTGATGAAAGCGCGTTCTGTGCATTCCAAACATTCTTATTGGAAGTCCAAACGAATGCTGGCTACATACATGCGACGCATGCGTAATAACAACCTAGAGATTAGGATTGCGGGCTCCTCTCGTCGCCCGCAATGACACGTAGCAACGCTGTTTAACTACTAATGACCAACAATTGTTCAGGAAACAAAATGTTGAATGTAACGTTTGGTCATTGAAAAACCTACTAATCGGCTAACATTTGTTGAGCAAGTGTTAGACGATACTGAATCGTGGATCATGTAACTTAATTGACATACCTTGGGCCTTATAAAAGTGACCTCTCCTGACACCTGGTCCACTACTTTAACCCTAACATGCTGAGTACTCCATGAATGCACCATCATGTCCCAGGAGTAGCCATACAGACCTTGAGTCCACGAATTATATCCCTGCAACAGAAAAGATAATAAGCTGATTGAGAATTATGCTTTTTATATCAGTTTCACCTCACATGACTCGGAAAAGACGAAATTCGAGTTCGCCCGATAGGAGTTGAACCTAACGTTTGAACAACAGGGGACAAAAGGTCATGGATAGCGCTATCTACCGGATAAATCGTTTTAGGGAAAGTTCATTAATATGACAATGGGGGGGGGATGAAGATATTGAGGGGGGGCTCCGAAAATTTTTAGACACCCGAAGGGGGGGCTCTGAAAAAATTGTTGCGCTAGGAGGGGGGGCTCCGAAAATTTGTATACTTCAAAACCAACACATGACATCATCATACAGATCGAATGGTTTTCAACTCAACAATTTAATGACCTGTGCAACTCAGCTATATCACTTGGTTTACAGATATAACAAATGTAGTCTCAGTAATTATTACACTCTTGTTCATCCTAAAAATGCTTTAGAAAATTGTATCACAACTGTATCTCAAGTTTGTTACAGTACAAACCATTGAAGACAATAACGGTAAATATATTTAATACAGTCTAGCGATCTTTTTTCAGGGGAGCAAAGGAATTGAAGGAGGAGTGGTGGGGGGGGGGGCTCTGAAATTTTTTCGACTACCAAGGAGGGGGCTCCTAAAAAATTGAACCGCTAGCCAGGGGGGCTGCTAAAATTTCAAGCTTCGAGTTTCAATATCTTCATCCCCCCCCCCCTTGTCATATTAAATGAACTTTCCCTTAGTAAAATCCAACTAGTGGTCTATTATCAATGCTGCGTTCTGATTGGTGGAGCCACTACTAAGCTATATGTTATAGTTCACTAGTAGCGAAAAGCGCCGGCTTTAAAAACCAGAACAATGGCGGCTGAATCGCGTTTTGCTAGCTATAGTTGTTTTGTCTCGATATTTTTGACCAACTAGTTGGATTTTACTAAAACAACTATTCCTCTCGTCGTCGTGTCCTCTGAGACAATAGCCCATGGGCCTCATGGGCTATTGACTCAGAGGCCATTCGGGCTCGAGGAATAATTGTTAATTCCAGTGGATAAGTATTAGGAAAACCAATTGCGTTGTTCACTGGTTAGAGATTTATCCAGTGGATAACGTTATCCACCTTTCGACCAACTGGGGCCTGGTTACTAGTCCTAATGCTCTATCACTAAGCTACGGGAGATTTGTGGAAGCAAAAGCCACTAAGCTGGGTTCATGTCACAAACATCCTGCATAATGTTAGGATTAGATTTCACGTGGAGGGGTGTCATTTACACAACGAAATCAAATGGTGAATTTGGAATATACGTGGCCTGTGCCAGGCTCTCAGATAGTGGGGACGTATTAAAACGAGCAAAGCGAAAATAAGACGCGCGCGACTTGGGAAAGGGGGCGGCGGTGGCGGCGTGAAAAATGCCCCCAGAGTTTTTCGCATTTCTTTTTACTTAAGGACTTTTCACCATTATCTTGGAGCCTGGAACAGGCTAGAGTATATGAGAACGATGTTTATTCAGGTACTGTCCACTGACACTACGCCAGATAAATTTGAAAACGCATCTTTTTCCTATAGTTAGGCCTGCTGTCCACACTAATCAGGATTTTTCGGAAAACTCATCAAAGTGGAAAAATTTGAAATGCCGGCTTTGCTTTTTTGTTTGGACGGAAAACATTTGGAAAACGGAACTTTTCGACAACGCTGACGTCACGATAATCTAATGGTTTCCTGAAAGCGTTGTGTTTTCAATTCTTCCGGATTAGGGTGGAGAAAAGACATTTCATCCTTTAAAAAAACGAAGGATAAAATGCATTTCAATTTTTTCCATATTAGTATTAAGTCCCGTTTATACGGAAAAACTTTGTCCCGGTGAAGAGGGTCACCCTCCCAGCCCAGTCAACTTCAGCGAGCGTTTATATGAGAAAAAAGATAACCCCTTTACCGGAGCCAAGAGCTGACAACAGCACTCACACAAGCTCTGATTGTCTCACCTTGACTGAGTTGACTTGGCTGGGCGAGCCAAAGTGTTTATATGGAGAAAAGTGGCCCCACTAAGAGGGTGACCCTACCTTCGAAAAAGGGTGATCCGGTTACCCTCAAGTTCTGGCAGAGCCAACTATTTGTTCCTCATGTGAATGGTTGACAAATTTTGTGACGAAATATGGGAAAAGTTGGCTCAGGGTTAACGCGGGTAGGCGAGTGACCGTTCTACTCCTTCTACCCGGGAAAAGTTTTCTACATATGAACGGGACCTTAGGGTTACTTTTGATGGAGAAACAGTCTGTAGAAATATACTAGTGTCATCAGAGCAAACTTAAGATGCTATGACTGAAATAAAGGAGAAAATTACCTTAGTTATGAAGTGTGAATATGGAAGGAAGAGCTGTATTCCTATGTAAGTTAGTACAATTAACACAAGAGCTTTGTGTTTTGTTCCAGGGGTTTGATTTTTCTCTGCTGTTTTCTCTCTATCAAGCTGCTGTTTATCTTCACTCACGGTGAATGCTGGATATACACAGTGTGTACTAGTTTGAGAATCATCCAGCGATGGTAGAATCCTAGCCATGAAGTTAGGTAGACAGGATAAAACCTTTTTTGGCCAGTTGTAAGCGCAAAACAGAGGCAAGGTAGCCATCATGGCGTATGGAAACATACCAATCTCAAAAATCTGTGAATTCATACCATGGAACATAGCACCAAAAAATATTCCAATAGGACGGGTCTTGTCGAAAGCGAGAAGAAAACCCTCTGAGAGATCGAATGCTAATCCACCAATATGAACTAGAAACAAGTCAATTGTTTCGTCAGAAAGAAACAAACGAAAGGGATCAAAGACCCATTCTCGAGAAAGGCCAGTCATGGAGTAGCCTGTCATCCAGTCCATATCGATCTTCTTAATGCCAGCATAGAAATATACAAGGAAAATCTGAGATAGGAAAAAAAAGGAACAATTTCAAAAGACGAACTGGGCGCAAAGCATAAGGACAAGTTCAGTCTCTGATTTTTCTCAGAGTAAAATGGATTTTTTTTCTTTAAGACAAGCAAGAGACACTTTTGCGCGAGAAGAGATAGCCTGCAAAACAGGCGTTATTATTTCGAATTTTTCAGTCGAGCGAAGGCAAGCTCGAGGGGACCGAGGAAAGCGAGACACGCGCGACGGTGGAACGCGCAGAAAAAATAAACCCTTGAATAATGACAACACCCCGAAAGTCATCAGCGAAAATGAAACTTGTTAAAAAGACTTAAAACTTTTCATATTCACTATTTTTCAACCACCAAATAATTTATTTAGCAATTAATGAATGAAGCTGAGTAGGATATGAAGAATTAAGCAGATCGAGGAGGGTGTTATCCACCGAAGACAAAGGCTGAGGTGGATAACACCCGCCGAAATAATTCTTAGTTTAAAAACATAACTAAAACATGCTTACATGCATCGATGTTAAGTTCGTCTTCGATAGTGTACCTTTAGGTTTGTCCAGCTCCGCAAATATTCTCCAAATAGCAGATGTCGCCCTCCAAGTTGTCTTCTTTCTGTTTTTTTCAGTTGTATTTTTTACTCTTGAAACGAGTGAAGTGTGCGCCATTTTTATTTTCACAACCAAAACAACTCCGCCTCGTTCCTACGGTGCCTTAACCTGTAAGAACGCTGCATTTTTGACGTCATTTCCTCGTTAAAGTAAAAATTCTTCCAAATTTGGTCACCAGTAACTGTTTATGGTGATTTATGCGAGTGCTTTTAGCCAATCAGAATTGGGGAAATATTTTGAATGAATAATAACATTAATTAACTTGCCAATCAAACAGTCACAAAGCCCACTTGCATTCTTTGTAGCAGATGACGACTTCCTAGCGATATAATGAAGATCTCGGTAACTTGCTATGGGAATTCGCTTTACTTTTGATTAATCTCCCAGAAATCCCAAACATTCAAGAGAAAAAAGCCTGTGGGTAGCAACCAACTATTTTATATATATATATGTTGCATAAAAAAACGGTCCTTGTAAAAAAGCGTCATTTTTATGTAAAAAAGCTGCTTTTTTACAAATTGAGCGGTTGTAAAAATACTGCTTTTTTACAAAAATATATTTTTGTAAAAAAGCAGCTTTTTTATGTAAAAAAGCTGCTTTTTTACAAATTAGCCGCTTGTAAAAATACTGCTTTTTTATGTAAAAAAGCTGCCTTTTTACAAAATATATTTTTGTAAAAAAGCTGCTTTTTTATGTAAAAAATCTGTTTTGTTACAAAAGGTATTTTTGTAAGAAAGCTGCCTTTTTTATGTAAAAATCCTGCTATTTTACACGTATAGACCATTTGACAAACTCATTTATCGAAGACAGGCTGTTTTCCATAGCATGGTTCGAAATTTATTCAACTGTAGTTTTCGTGCGGCTAGTCACGTTCACGTTCC